TGTGGTGATAAACTTTATAAAAAATTTTAACACTTTTTTAACAGTTTATAAAAAGGCATTTCTAACCAGTTTATAAAATTGTTTCAGAGTTTTTTTCACAACCCTAGATTTACAGATTTATAAAGTTTATAAGGATTTTTTTAAGGATATTAAATGCTTTATAAAGACTATTTGTAAACCTAGATTTACATATTTATAAGGTTTATAAGGATTTTTTAAGGATATTAAACGCTTTATAAAGACTATTTAATCTAGATTTACAGATTTATAAGGTTTATAAGAATTTTTTAAGGATTTTAATATACAATTTTTTTTCACAGCTTTTAACAGTCTGATTTACACATTCTTGTATACAAATGATTTGGCAGCGTGTCGATTTAGCTTTGATGATGTTTAATAAGCGCATGGAGCAGAATCCAGACCTCTTCCGGAAAGGAGGTTTCATTTTTCAACCCTCATTCTTCACGCTGATCGATGAACAATTTCCAGTGTTTGTTGACGAAATGGAGAGATTCGAGTTTGAAACAAAAGGGATCAGAACAGAAGGTTTTGCAAAGGACGTTGTGTTCATATGCATGCCTTTTTTGGTGAAGGCAAAGTGTTGGGTGCCGCTGATCATTGATTTGGTTAATTCAGCGATAATGGTTCACGATATTTCCAATAAGAATATCCCAGAGGAACCGACAATAAAAGGCTTACCCCATTCGCCATGATTCTCCCACACTTTATCAACTACATCAGACGAGATGAAGCAATGGATGTCTCTGAATTCCAAGTCAACATAAACAGAAAAAATTCCAAAGCTAAATTAGAAGTTTTTTTAAAAAGAATTATAACAAGTTTATTGCAATGAATGTAAAATATTCAAAACAGTTCCGCTGGATATATGGGTTATTGCAATGAATGTAAAATTTATAAGGATTTTTAAACATATTTTTACACTGAACAGTTTTATGATTTTATTGGGTTTGTAGTGAGATGGCTAATCCAAGGAATGATTTATTCTCAGCGTATCTCGCCATATCCGATATGCACACTCATATGCAGATAAATCGAGACAAGGAATCAGCTCCATCGGCTGCTCCAACAGCGATTTATACAACAATGTATCGATCCTGTGTCGGTGTTGGATTTCGTCGTTATCTGTCATGGATCTTGACAGAATATTGCGAGCTGATGCAAATTGCCCCAAGCCAGTTAGTTCTTCGAGCTTGGGGATTGATACATGCTCTGCAATCTTGTCCGACCTATCTGGCATTCATATCTCCAGGAAAATGGTGGCACACTCATTTCGCCTCGTTAGCGTTGAAGGGAATTCCCGACGATTCAACCTTCAACTTCGCGAAGGTGAAAGATCTCCTATTGATCCTCCAATGTGGCTGGATGCAAATGCTGATGGTGGAGAATACTTCTATGTCATCCACGATGGAGTTGGAAGAGTCTACAGCTGCTGGTCAGACATAGGTATGGAAACTTTATATCCCCTTTATTATAAAAGTCTGTAAAAAAAGCTTATAAAGTCTGTAAAAAAGGCTTATAAAAGTATGTAAAAAAACTTACAAAATTTTATACACACTGTATTATAAAAGTCTGTAAAAACGCTTATAAAGTGTAAAAAAAGCTTATAAAGGTCTGTAAAAAAGGCTTATAAAAGTCTGTAAAAAAGGCTTATAAAAGTTTGTTTGCCTTTTTGTTATGTAGGAGTTGTACCAGAGGATGTGATTCCTGATGAATCGTTCCCTGACATATTCTACGAGCTGGATAAAAGTTTCATGAACACTGTCTTATTGCTGCATCCACGTATTGTGGACCAAACTTCACTAGACACGTCTCTCAATGACCCATTCATCCCCCAACGTGAGCCCTGCTATAAAATATATCTGAAATATAGTAGTTCTTGTTAAATTTGTAACACTATGAAAATTCATTGCAGAGAATTTGGACCTTTTGATGGCAACGCTTAGAATGTATGATTTTTTTCAAGAAGTTTCGGATGAAAGTTCTGATGAAGAGGACAATGAAAACCATTCACCTGCGCCAGCTCCTGAAAGTTCCTCTCAGGTTTGTGCATTTGATTTGTATTAGATTTGTAAGGTTTTTTTTAATGCTTTTATAATAGATTTGTAAGGTTTTTGTATTAGATTTGTAATGTTTTTAATGCTTTTATAATAGCATGAGTTAGCTGGAAAGAATACAGAAAACAATATGTTAAAATTATAAGGTTTATAAGGAATTTGTAAGGATATTGAACGGTTTATAAAGACTATTTGTAATCTAGATTTACATATTTATAAGGTTTATAAGGTTTTTTAATGCTATTATAACATAGTTTATAACACAGATTTTGCTGACTCTTCTTATTTGTTTAGTTTAGGTGCTTGTCCAGGCCGTTCAACTATCAGAGTTGCTGCGTGAATAGAAATATTTGGCGGCATAAATTGAAGCAACCAAATACAGGTTGGAAAAACTTCAGGCTCGCTATGTCCAAGTTCAACATTCTCTTCAAGGAACCCGCCCGACAAACGAAGCTGGATGCTCAAGGAATGTAAGAACCCGCCCGACAGACGAAGCTGGATGCTCAAGGAATGTAAGACATTGTCGGTCTCGACAGTCTTCTTAGTTTTTTCATCTATCTTAACCTTTTGATGCTTTATAAAAGCACAATAACATGTTATTTTTTTAGGACCCATTATTATATGTTATCTTGTACTAGGAACATATATATCTATATTATTATAACATATTTTCATAGTTTAGAAATTTGAATGGCGCATTAAATGTTCTATAATCTTAAAACTTCCACCTGCAAGCGTAATATTTATAAGGTTTATAAGGTATTTTAACGGATTTTATAAGGATGCTTATAAGGATATTTAAAGGATTTTGTAAGGATGTTTATAAGGATTTTGTACAGTTTTATAC